TGTAACAGCAACAAGGTTTGCTGTTGTACAACCCTGGGGGTGTTTTCCAGCCCTGATTTGAGGTGCTGAGGAGGAGAAAGGAAAAGACAGGAAAAAAAAAAAAGGTGGTTTTGGGTTTCGGTGGTGGGGAGGGGAGTGAGGGCAGTGGGTTCCTCCGGCAGCTTTGCAGACCTTTGTCTCCTGGTGGTGGTGAAAGGCAAGCTGGGGGTGTGTGTATGTGTCCCCCCCCTCCCCTGGCCAGCCCATAAGGCTCTTGACCAGCACCAAGGGTGGACCAGGAGCTCCTGGCCCAAATCTGGCCTGGCCTTGCCCCAGGGAGGCAGATTCAGAGAGGACTTGGGGATGTCCACCACGGCACAGCGAGAGGTGGGTGCTCCAGCCACCGCTTTGGGGGATGGAGGGATGAGTTTGGGGGCTGCAGCAGGAGGGAAGCAAGGCTCAGCGACCCCCAGCTGGGGTCTGGCCCCCCTTCCCCTGCCCCACGCTCCTGCCACCACCTCCTTGGTGGGACCTGCTGTGGGACAGAGGGCAGGGATGGGAGCAGGGCTGTGGTGCTGGTGGCTCCTGGGGCTCCCTTGTGACCCAGCCCAGTGGTGGCTGGTCCCCACCAACTGGTGAGGTCTGAGGATGGGTGTGAGCCCCCTGGGGCTCAGCCAGCGCTGCTGGGGACCAGCTGGGGGTGCCTCTGGCTGCCAGCAGTGCCTGGGGTGGTTTGGGAGGTGGGAGCCGAGATTTAGTTCTCAAGCTGATCCTGATTTCCTCAAAATTCAGAGCCTCTCTAGGCCTTTTAGCTCAAGTTTCTGTAACTCAGCCCAGGACTTCACCTCCTGGCTCCTGTAGCCTTTGCTCTCTGGTGAGAGGCGGACCTGGGTGTCCTTCCTCACTGTTCCCATGAACTCTGACTGCTCTATCCTTGCCCAGTGCTGGGTAGGGGGGGTCAGGATCTGGCTCCCCAGTTCTTCCCCACCAACTACCAGCAAGCCTCATCCCCTCCACACAGAGGGGATGTGTCCAGCTGTGTACCTTGGTTTCAGAGGCCCTTTCAGCTCCACCACGGACCCTCCTTCACCTTCCTCACCATGTCTCCCTTCCCCAAACCCCCCCTCCAGCATCCGGGTGTCAGTTTTGTCCCACTGTCGTGGTTTCAGCTGGGATGGAGTTAGGTTTTTTTGCTGACAGCTGATGCAGTGCCATGTTTGGGATTTGGGCTGGGGATGGTGTGACAGGACACTGGTGGCTTTGGTTGTTGCTGAGCTCTCAAGGCTGTTTCTGCTCCTTGCACCACCCCACCAGTGAGTGGGCTGGGGGGCACAAGAAATTGGGAGGAGACACAAGTGGGGACAGCCGTCCCCTATGGACCAACGGGATATTCCATAGGACATCATGCTCAGCACATAAAGCTGGGGAAGAAGAAGGAAAGGGGTTGGGAGGATTTCTGGAGTTATGGCGTTTGTCTTCCCAAGTCACCATTATGTGGGATGGAGCCCTGATTTCTGGAGATGGCCCAACACCCACCCGTGGTGGGGAGCAGGGAATGAGTTCCTTGGCTTTGCTTCGCTTTCGTGGCTCTTGCTCTACCTATTGAACTGTCTTTATTTCAACCCAGGAGTTTCTTCTTCACTTCTACTCTTCCGATTCTCTCCCCCATCCCGACTGGGGGGTGTGAGCGAGCGGCTGTGTGGCCCCCCAGCTACTGGGTTGGGGTTAAACCCCGACACCCACCCAAGGGGATTCCGTACCCGAGGAACAACGGGAGGGAAGTGTGTTGCGTAGCTGGGTCACGGGAGAGCTGCTGTGATCGCTGTTATCTCGCTCAAGCAAGACACTCTGTCCTCCTCGTGTGGCACGTGGGGACAAAAATGGGACCTTAGACCAGCGCCGGTGGGGGTACGCTCGGTTCCATGGGTGCAGCTCCTCCGGGGATGTACGGAGCAAAGTGCCTGGTGGCGGTGATAGACTCAAGGCCATTCCCCTTCCTGCGGGGCCGGCAGCAGATAAGGACGCTGAGGACGGCGTTGGCCCGTCCCCGGAATGAGAAGCTGCTCCTCCTTGGAAAACCATGGCCAGGTTGATCTCCCCTGGGCAGGCACATCCTGGCGTGTGCCCCACTTCCAGCGGGGTTCATCCACCACCCCCTCCCCTCCCCCGGCTGCCAGCCCACCTTCTGGTGGTGGGACAGGGAGAAAAGTAAAGCAACTGCTTGATCTACAACTTTTATCATCACTAGGTAAAATTCCAAAACTTCCCACTTGGCAACCAAGAAAATCATAGGACCATAGAATGGTTGGAATTGGAAGGGACCTTAAAGATCATCAAATTCCAACCCCCCTGCCCTGGGCAGGGACACCTCCCACCAGCCCAGGTTGCTCCAAGCCCCATCCAGCCTGGCCTTGAACCCCTCCAGGGATGGGGCAGCCGCAACTTCCCTCAGCAACCTGTTCCAGGCTCTCACCACCCTCAACAGGAAAGAATTTCTTTCTGGTATCTAACCTAAATCTCCCCTCTTCCAATTTAAAACCATTGCCGCTTGTCCTGTCACTACATTTACATAATATAATCACTGCACTTATAAGTATTTTCCCAAAAACTTCCTTTCGTCTCTGCTTGTACTTAGTGCCCAGTGACAAAAAAATGACGAGCAGCATGATGGACCACTGCAGAATAGGGTTTTGCACCCCATCATCAGTTCATCCGTGTAAGCAAAAATAAAAATATGGTCAAATTGCTTCCTGTAATACTGGAGACGTAATTTAGATAAAGAGAAATGGGCTAAGGGCAATCCCCGTAGGAACCTCCCCGAATCCCAGGACTGTGGGTGCAGCAGCAACGTGACTTGGTCCCACCTGTAGTTTTTGTAACAGCAACAAGGTTTGCTGTTGTACAACCCTGGGGGTGTTTTCCAGCCCTGATTTGAGGTGCAGTTCTCTGGACAATCCCCTAATTGCAGGTGTATCACCCTTGTAATCTGGGTACCCCAGCAGTAACACAGGGACGGCGTTAGGATGACAAGGAATGGGATAAAAAGCCACGGAGGCATCCAACGATGCCCAGGACAATCCTTGGGGCAATGCCCCGAGGGCTGGGCAGCCAAACTCAGGACAGGACATTTTATGGGGTTTCCTTAAAAACTGAGAGTATTCCACCACTCATCTACCTTCTGTAGTGTTTCTAGGGTTTTTTTTTGTCCCCAAGAAAGCAGCCCCCAGGAACCCTGTTAATGCCACGACTGGCCACGGGGACACGTGTGGTTTCTCTGTGGTGGGTGTATGTTCCACACGTGCTGACCCTCTCTCCTGCAGCAGTGCCCCTAATGACAGCACCATGGGATGCTGCTCCAGAGGTCGGTGAGGAAAAACCATTCCTGGATGTGACAACAGGCCTCACAGATTTATTTTGTGACCGGAAACTGCTGGGGGGGGTTTTCTGTTTTACCTTTTCCTGTGCCGCATTTGCTCCTTCCATCACTCCTTGTGATTCTTCCTCAAACCAGGCTCAAAAACATTATACACATGACAGGATGAAGCAGTGGTGCCTCATATTTATTTTGGATGGCCCAAAATAATGGCAGATAAGTCGCCGTTGGTACATCTGAGTGTGCAGGCAGCAGTAGGGACCACCTTCCATCTGATTTACTATTTTCTGCTAGAGGACAAGAAGGAAATTGAGGAATTTTCCAGTCCTCGTTAAATTTTGGTTCGGCATTGCGACACAGGTCTCCAAACCCCTTAAGGGTGTGTAAGGTGGGCTGGTGGCTTTTGGGGGAGATGGAGATGTTCTGTGGGGGGACTTTGAAGGACCCCTTCTCTGAGGAGATCCAGATGGTGTTCTTGATCTTCCCCTTGCTCTGTGGCAGCGCTCGGGTAAGGACGAAGGAATGAGCGGGTGCGTAAGACCCTGTGACCTGGTCTCACTGTGCAGCTCCTTGGGAAGGTGCTGGGGACAGTTTTACTGGATGCAATCGGAGGAAAAAATGGCTTTTT